AATTAGATTATATTGTTGAATTTTATTTACTCACTCGTGTATCCAACTGGACAAGGATTCGGAGGAGTACAGTAAGCCGGTAAAGGATTTTCCGCCTTTTCGTCCTTGAGTTCTTTCAGACTAAATTGAATTCTATGTCTATTATAACCCTTGTCGTTATTATTTTTATTATTGTCGAACCGTTGGTGACTCCAGAGCGTACTGTGTTGTAAATACTCCTGATCTCGTATACTTGGATTTGGGTTCAAAGTGTCCATGTTATCGTAATCGGCCGGCAATTCCATCGGCAATTCCTTGGCTTTCTCCTCCTGATATTCCAAGTACGAATCGGGCGCACTCACAAATTCATTTCCCACTTGATCGATCAATTCTTGCAAAAAATTGTCGGTCCATAAATCCTCCTCCTGGATACATCCAAATAGTGGATTACATTCTCTTTTGACATCCTGCAAAAAATGGATGAATTAAAAAAAATAAGCAGGAATTTACTTCGCGATGTTACGTACTATCTTCGAAATCAACAATTGTTTTTGAAATTGCTTAATTCTTTCCTACATATTTATCTTTTTTCTTTCATATTTATTTGTTTCAATTCCTATGAGGAATAAACAATACATTATAAATCAAAAAAAAGTTTTTTCAAAAAATTAGTATTGTATTTTCTTCTAATTCGATTTAATTATGACACACACACACACACACACACACACACACACACACACACACACACACATATATATATATATAAGCTGACATGAGCTTTGTTTATATGTACCAGGATTTGAAAGAGAAAAAGTGAATTTTCAGAAACTTTTAAATTTAATCAATTCCTGATTTCGAAGATTAAATATTTCATTTCGCAGAAGGAAATTCCTCTCGATTCAATTTAATTCATCTATTTTTTATACTTGTAAAGCTGTTGATTTTCATAATTACCTTCATTAAAGGCAAGTAAATATTCGACCGTGCAGCAACAGCAATCAAAAGGAGCAGAATGCAGTAGAGCATAATAATCAATGCGTGCATCTGCAGAATAGCACAAAAGGTTCTTTTTTTTACAATTTGTTATTTTTTCACTACAACATTCTAGTAAGCAAAATATTAGCAGTCTGTTGGCAGTTTGCCTATATATAGTAGATACTAGATACAAACGAAATAGTGCAGCAGATTGACATCAGCTACGTCCATAAGCGTTCTGCCAACAGAATCTGCTAACATAATTTTATTATTGGTAAATTGGCTTACCAAGAAACCAAGAAGCAGAATTTATTACCATTTTGTAATTATTAATAATTTATTATTTATATAGAACATATTATTTTATCTATAATATAGAACATATTATTAAATAATATGTTCTATATTATGTTTAAATAATTACAAAATGACAAATTTTATTCAATTTCTGCTGATAAAATTTTTTGACAAAAAAACAAATACTTAACAACATTTATTGTTGACAGATTTGTCTATGTAACAAATCTGATACCGATCATAATTTGATAATCTTCTAAAAAATTTATTAACATCTTGTATAAAGAAAAAGAGTTATTATAATACACATCAATATAATTAGAACAATATAGCTCTTTTTTTAAATATAATTACTATTATAACGAATTCTGATAAAAATTTTCATAATTTAGATTTTCTTAGAGCACATTCGCGAATCATTTAATTGTTTAAATGTTTTAAAAAGCAGTATGGGAATATTTCAATTTTCCGCGAGTGTAACGTGTATAACTCACCATAATCAGCGACAAACGGTACGTTACGGAGAAAATCGACGATACAGACCGAAGAGAAGATTCTGGAGAAGAGGTATCGCACACCTGCAGTTTTTCACTGCACACACGCTTTTCCTCTCCTCATCGTCGTCATTGACGGTCGCGACGAGCGCCGTTCGCGGTCTCAGCGAGTACCAGAGTATTGATTTACCTTTTTCCATTATTTCACCCTTTATGATCCTGTCCCGACAACGTGCTCGCCGTTCACCCACCATCCTCTCCGTTCAACATTCAACTCATATTCGTAAAATCGAGCTACTATTAAAGGTCAATATTCAAGGTTCGACGGAGCTGCCGTAACCAATATGCGTCTAATAATATAGAATTGAGAATGGGGGAATCTTTTCGGTAAATAGATGAATGTAGAAGACTAATGAATAAGACTTGCGATGTTTTTAACTATACCGAAACGCGTATATACATCAAATCTTACTTAAAAGAATAAGTTAGAAAAAATTGAACATAATAGTTTTATTGTTTCATATTATTATACAAGTTAAACATCTTTATCAATTAATCAACAATCAATTACATATACAATCTCTTTAAAATCTGTAATTATTCCAAAATATTTAAAATTTTGATTAATAATTTGTTTAATAATTTGATTAAATTTAAAAAATATAAATTTAACAGGTATAAAGATCATTCAATTAATGTGCTAATTCCATTGATTGTATATTCTTTTTTCTTATTAATAGATATTATTCGATATTATAGTATTGTTTGAATTTGCACGCATTTAAGCTCACAACTTATATAATCTTTGTAATTTTTCTTAACACTGAATTATCCAATTACTTTAGATAACTGTATATCGGTTATTTGCTTATCTAAATTGCATTCATAAGCAACGGTTGCCTGCAAATGTGATTTGTGTGCAGGACACGTCGTTTGGATAACGATATTAAAGCTCGTATAGTCTCAAAGTCCTGTCGAGAGGCTATAAAGTATCTAAAGTACGAGGTAGTTTTGTTTCGCGAACATGAAGCTCGAGAGTTAACATCATAAAAATGTAATTTCTTTTTGCTATGACGTCCTCCAAGAATTGTGAATAATTTTATTTCCCTGAAACTACATTGCACGTTTTCACACACACACACACACACACACACACACACACACACACACACACACACACACACACACACACACACACACACATTAATCATTACAGTATTATTATGCAAAGTAAAAAATATTTTCCTAATGTATATTGTTATATTAAATGTATTTAAACGAAAATAATAAAATTGGAAATATAAATAATAAAGTTTACAAAAAATTATTCATAGACTTTCTACATTTTAGAATTATTATACTTCTTTTTCCTACAATCTATCGTTTTGTGTCGTAAAAATAAAATCGACGAAAATAAAAAAATCCAAATTTGATAAAAGTTCGATGAAGTAGCATAGTGGTGATTGTTTGTCAAGCCGGTACTTTCATTAAGCGTACCAGTTACAGGAGGGTTAAAATAGAAAGTGTAGTGGCGTAGGGATGAAAGATCAAAAGATTCTTCCCCCTTGTTATGATCGTATATAAACCATTCATTAGTTGTTGTCGTGCATTGCGTTTTAGCAACTCAATTTACAGAATCAAATTCTCGTTTCGTCTTCATCTCACCACGCTAAGATTGATTACGATTTGTCACTTTAACGTGACTCATAACATTTTTAATTGTTTTTTGTAATACTGTTTTAGATGTTTTGATAATATCACTATTCTTTATAACATATAATGTAATTAGCTATAAAATGATAATATCTTTTGAGAAGAAATGTGAGAAGATATATACAGAAAGTTAATTATTTTATCTATTTATATTGATTGAAAATTTCTCCTTTATATAAAATTATTTAAAAAAATGGCAAGTTGAAATAATTTTTGCCTGCTATATGTATACATAAGAAGTATTTTGCTCATCCTCTATTATATATTTATTTAATAATTAAAAACAAAATCCTTTTCGATTGTCCTGAAAAAAATTTTGGCAATTCAAGTTTTTTTCGCTATTGTAAAAAAATTTTTTTTCCAAGTTATGTTAGTTTATATATGTAATGTAATATTATTTTGAAGCAGTGAACAAATATATCACAACAATTTATTCGATATGTTCCCAAGGGAAGGAGTGAAATGAGAACGTTCTTGAAGCTCGTAATGATTTTCTAGCTCAGCATCCATCCGGCTTGTCTTATAATTCCCCGTTCGAATAAAAGTTCTTGTGTCTATTCGATTGTGTCGGCTTTCGATGCCAAAGATTCCTTTGCGCTTAAACTGGATTACATTCACATTAAACAGCATTCGACATACAATAAATCAGAGAATGCTCCGACTTCCATTCAGTCAGACAAGTTGAATTTATTTCTTTTTATGTACGTATATGATATAACGCTGTTCTATACATATTAGATTACAAAATTGATAATGTAATTGGAAATAGAATTATGTCAAACAACCAAACATGTTTATTGTTGGCACGATATTTTATACTTATGATCAATCAATGATGGAGATTCCTATATTCATGCTTTTTGATATTCTTTCGATATACAGAGATATTGTACGATGTGTTTAGATTTCCGGATATATTAATTCCGATATTGTATATCCGATATTATTTACCATGGGATAAAATGTTGCTTGAAATAATCGCGATAGTAAATTGATGTAATTTTACATAAGTAATTGAGTAAGAATTATAGCAGCGTCACATGAATTATAATTTGTTACTATTATATTCACACTATTCACATAATTTTTAAAATCAACAAGCAATTAATAATATAAGCAGAGTGATGGCTGAAAAAGATGTATGAGATAAATATATAATACATAATTGCTGCTTTAAGAAATGAACTTAGAGAAATTATAATTTTAAGATATTGTTTACATCGTTAACGGAGTCGTATGTTTAATTAAGCCGATATAAAAATTTATTTATAATATATTTTTTATAATATATTTATAATAAAAATATTTTTAAACACCTGATTGTTTATAACTACATAAATTGAATGAATGAATGAAATTGTCAGTCGCATTAAGAGCCTTATATAGATAAAAACACTATTTTTATATAAATAAATAAATAAATGAAATGAGTAAAAAGATAGATATGTAAAAAAATATTATATCAATATTTAAATATTGTATTAATATAATAATTAAGTGCTGTTATAACAAAATTTGATATCATCAATTTTGCTGAACGGAAGAGATGAATGTTCCAGGATATATCTGAGGGATTTCTCTCTCTCCCTTTCTCTCTCTCTCTCTCTCTCTCTCTCTCTCTCTCTCTCTCTCTCTCTTTCTCTCTGCTGCGTGCGTAGTCAGCGTGGAGCTGTTACGCTCAGTGTCTCGACGCGGCGTCACAAGTATTGATCTTTGTAGAGAGCCACTACGTGAATGGGTTATGGCTGTCTCGTACTATTCCGCAGATTTTCGTACAATTCTCTCTTCGTCATACACGTTCACCATCTCCTTGTGATCCCGATTTCCCTCTTAGCCGAAAGCTTTTTGTATTTCGCTGCTCTCGTCACGTCATGCCACGATATCCATTCCCGCGTGTCACGCATAACGTAGATACTGTACTTATATTTGTCGTACACTATATTACAGATATTGGTTTCAGCTTGCATGTAAAAGTACAAATAACTCTCTTTTTTATTAAAAAGTAAAAAAGTAATATCAAAGAGCTCATTTTGATGAAGAATACAATTTTGCTCATCTGAAAAGATAATATTTTTCTTCTTGTCAAAAAAGAAGTATTCGCGCGACAGAATATAAAATTAACTTTGTAATTCTTATGAAAAGATTTTATAACTTTTTATAAGGAATAAAGATTTTCTACTTCTTAATGTAAATCATGGAAAAATTTTAACTTTCCAGTAGTGTCTTTATTTTCAAAATCAGATTTTCTAATTATTTTAGAGAGTTATAGTTTATCTGTAACTCTCTAAAATAATTAGATTAAGCAATAAATTAACTTGATGCATTTTTACATAATTTTTTCTTGCTCTTTACGCATCTGTCTAAAGGTAGAATATTATATGTATCATTTTTAATATAATGCATTAACGTATCTAGCGAGTCCTAGCGAGACATTTTGTCGTCGCAATGGCAATGGCAATGGAGATAATAAAGTTAAGTAGTTTAAATAAATTGTTCTCGTATAATATTGCGTTGCCAATATAGTGTTAGTATAATTGCATCTATAAGTCGACATCATTATATATGGTATTAATAAATACGAAATACCTTGCTTATTACAAGAAAGAATATTAATCATATTTTTATGAATGTAAAGCCGTGAATATAGGAAATACAGTTAATTGATATAATCTTTAATTGCATCCATCTTCAAGAAGAAAGATAACATTGACTGTGCATTTCTAGGTTGTATACGTTGTTAAATATCATTAAATATCATTCGGAATGTTTATTCAAAGAATGATGTATAGATGTTGTTTGATACGCAGATAAAATTGTTATATATTTTTTAAATATATTTAAATTCTATTTTTATCTGTTTCTTTCTTTTCCTTTTTCTTTTTTATTAATTAATTTTATCATGACAAAAAATCAATTGTATACATCTAAGAATGAGCAGGCATTACCGGTAATAAAAGACATATGTTTTACATTTCCTTATTTCCTAAATTATTTAATTTAATATTCAATAAATGGTGGCACAGCAAAATATAAAGTGCAATTTTATTTGTACGTAAAATATAAATTATCAAAGAATAATTTTTTGCTACGTTATACAAGTAAAATTTATTTATCATAAAAAAAATATATAAAATTATATTAATTTCTTCATAACGTTCAGTCTATTTATATATTTTAGATAAAACCATGTGAATGTGCGAGCCAAGATATAGTATTCGATTTAAAGAAATATGATCCCTATTTTGACAAGATTCGAGCACTTTTTGTGCCTAGTCTGGAATATAGATTCCAGTCTTTGTTGGAGAAGTTCGTGTATAATACAAATTCTCGATGGGCTAAGCAGTTTCCATGTTTCAAGAAATTCATGGGTATGATAATTATGTGGAAGGATCTTCTGAATAGAGTCGTTGAATATGATATCAGCACAATGGAAGAAATTATGAAAAATACTATCAAACGCTTGATAAAGGATGATTTGATCACCTGTTTTCTGGATTCTGTTATTTTGCATCATAGATTGAAAAAAGTTTGCCGGGAGTTAGATACATTGGGCATCGAAGACAATATTTTAAAAAACTTGAATGTGTGGAACTTAATCAATGAGCAAGACTATTTAGATCGCAATTGCTTCATGTATGTTATTATGTGTGTAATATAATGTACAATATATAAAACAAAATATTTCGTAAGTATCGATGGTTAAATGAAATTCATCAAAACATTGTCTTAACTTTAATAAAATATTATTCCTTCATTAACATTTATTGAAGATGCTTTACTTATCGATTATCACTTAAAATTACACCAAATTTTATTTACTAGGAATTTCAATACTACTATTTCAATGGATTGTAACATGAATTTAAATACAGTACCTTACAATACAAAACGATCAATCAAGTGTAAAAAAATTGTCAAACCATTAGCAAAAAAGATTTGTGATAGAAGTATCGAACACATACAATCAAAATATCGAAAACATCGGATACTTCAAACATCGGCTTTAAATCAAAATTTTCTGCAACATAAAGAAGATAATTCCAATTATTATTCTACTTACGTTGCAACTGGATCAACTAGGCAAAATGATTATAGTACTGATAAGATAAATAAAAATAAATCTTTTAATGAGAAATCGTGCCAAAATACCAAATCAAAGAAGATATGGAATGATTTGAAATTGAAGATAATTATTCATAAAGTACAAATAGAAGATCATGAATATTCGACGTTCTCGAGCGTTAATATCACTCGTTTATCTTTGCCTTGTAAACCGAGCAATTTAATTAGACGAATTTCTGAAGCTGATCCTTCTTTAACCGAATCTTGCTTGATAGTGATGAAGCGAAAATTCGAAGATAGCATATATAATGTTTGCTCGTGTCTCAATAGTGTTATAGAAAAATTAAATATCAAATTGACAAAAACGCTATGTCTTAATTGCGAAATATATTCTGAATATATCAGTTTCAAGTTAAAAGCCCTCAATATAAAAAAACATCTTTTCGTTGCGAGAGTACCGATTTGTCAGAATGTCCATAAATGGTTTTATGGTATGGTTCAAGAAGATTTCTCTATTTTGTCCTCAAAGTCAAGTACTGAACTTAACAAATTAAAATGTTTTACACAATGTAAAGATAATTGTACGAATTTCAATGATGCACATGCACATGTTACACACGAAAAAGCTGAAAAACTCGACACATGCTATTCACAATCAGATGAAGCAGATCGAAGGTTTATAAAAAACATAGTGATAGATATAGCGCGAAAAAAAACAGAAAATAATAATGAGAATAGTTCGAGATATGTTGAAAATTTTGTAAACTTCTCTTGTAATGATCCTTGCGAAGATAATGTTGAAGAAATATATCATGTGACGTCATGCGTTGATAATTCTGTTGAAAGAAATCGAGAATACTCTACAATTTTTAATTCGATGGATATCAATTATGACGATGATGTAAAAGAGTATAGAAAAGAGGTTATCGAATCGAGTAATTTAATTATAAGGAATGGTATATCCACGCAATTAGTAAATAATGCAAACTGCACATGTTCGTTATACGAAAACTTTATAGAAACAAACAATGAAATTGAAGACATTTTTAGCAACAAAGATTTGGACAGTTTCTCGCAGACCACAGGCACTAACGAATGCACTAACGATTGTTTGTCGAATGAAAAATCAAATTTAGAAAACGAAATTTGTAATAATTGTAATGAATGTAGTAATACATTATTTATACAAAATTCCGAATATAATAATGCAAATTGTACATGTGTATTATACGAAAATTTTATCGAAACAAACAGTGAAATTGAAGGTACTTTTAATAAAATAAAAACAAACAAAGATATGGATAATATTTCGCAAATCACAGGCATCAACGAACACAATTGTTTGTCGAACCAAAAGTCGAATTCAAAAATCGAATTGGAAAATAAAATATATACAAATACTAATAGATGTGCAAATACTAATAGATGTAGTATTACATCATTCGTACAAAATTCAGAGTATGATAAACAATTAGTAGAATTAAACTATAATCGTTTCTCGAACAATATTAATAGAATCGATAAACACTTCGATGCACAGGAAGATGATAGTTTGTTAAATTCGACAAAAGTAGAAATTGGATGTAACTCATGTTGTTCTTGCAATGATTTTATAGATATCACAGATAATATTTTAAGAACAAATATTTGTGATTTTGAAATATCTCAAAATAATTTTGCAGCAACAGCTCCAAGCACGGACTATTCCAAAATAGTGCAGGTATCGTCCAGGAGCAATAATTCGCTAACAATTTCGATTCAAATGCCTAGATCAAAGATATCGAAAGAATTATCGAAAGAAATCAATGCAGATACATTTTATCCACGAATAGTTTGGTTGACATCTGAAAATGATAAAAAGATACCTAAGAAGGAAACAAGCGATGGATGCAGTGAAATAGCAGCAAATCTTTCTACGCATACTTTAATTGTTTCCAAAAAAAGAAATCAATTTTTTCCTGATATAAATAAGGAAATTTTAGATGTAAAAGATGGAACACAAAATTTTGTTACATCATCAGAAAGATTTTCCGTGTCGAAAGGAAGATTCCGAATCTCCAATGGAGATTCAAGAAGTTCCGATGTCTCGACAGGAGAATATCTACGTTCAAAAAATCATTCGACATCCAATGCATCGCTATATTGTCGTTCATTCGTAACGATAAGTGAATTTGCGACGAGCGACAGGCGAGATAAATTCCAAAAATCAATGCTTCGCGGGCGCAGGTGCATTACATCAGCGAACGGTATTCATAACATAACTTCGACAACAATCAAACACAGAACAGCATCTCGTAGATATCCAAATAATTATTCTAGGGAAATACGACCACAAATGGTATTCGCGATAACAAAGTTTCGCAATTCCATCGACAAATCTATCGATAGAATAAAGCGTTTGATTCGTGAAAAGCTGAAAAGAATATTGTTTAACAATAAAATAAGTAATAATAATAAAATGACTAAAACTTTTTGGAAAACTAAAGAATCTTCTGAAGGTACTAGAAAGAAAGAAACAAGTGACAAATGTGTAAGATAGATATACTTTTAAATAGAAATATTTTAATTATTGATTGATATTAATGTTTTGTTGAATTCAATATTTTTGAATTGTTTCTGGCTTTGGAAATTAAAAATGTGCAACTATAATTTTTTAAATGAACTTTTCTTCAATTTATTATCTATTCTTCTTTGTAGGATTACAGTATAACTTCATGCTCAACTTGCTATGATTGCTGCAAGCAAAGCTATACCACATCTACTTGTAAATCTTCAAATGTATCTTTATCAATTAGTAGGACAAAGGAAAAAAAAAGGTGTCAAGAGAACATAAAGTTTTATGACCACAAATTGGAAAATGATAACAATGAGGCCTTATTAAGCTTCCGTTCGATTAAACCTTCTCTGCAGTCTTACGATTTGTTAACTTCTACAACTGAAGACATAGAAAAGCAAAAATTAAATAGAAATAATCCAATACAATATGATAAAAAGGAAAAAATTGGCAATATTATGAATTACATCAGAAACTCTCATCAATATGACTTGAAAAATTCGGAAACAAGTGTAACAATTTCTTTGCAATCGACCAAAGCGTTTCTTACGGACAATGATTCGAAATATTTTGGACATACCACATATAAACATCAAGAAAAGACATATGATAATAAGCGAATTTGTAAGCAAATGCAAGATCATCGTAAAAATGATCAGATGCGGTACAAGTATGAACAATGCAGGATCAGAAACAAAAAAAAATATCGAGATGTACCAATTAAATATTCTAACGTCAATAGCAATGAAGTTATTAAAACATTGTCATCACATTCTTGGAGGAAAAATGCTAGAAATACATATAAACGACTTTACAATATATCGAAACTAAATAAAGTAAAGAGATTTGTATGTTCATGTTCAAGAAAGAATAAACAAATATTGGAGAAAGATATATCCAATCATTCCAATGATAGTTTACGATCTAACGCTAATCTACGCAAGAGACATGCCTTCGCGATTTTAACTAATACCTGCAATGATTACATAGACGATCTCGATTTAAACTTCAAGTTGAGATTGTTGCGATATGTAGAATTATGCAAAAGCATCAAACGTTCATTAATAAGAACATTACAATCGGACGATACTTATGAAATTAGCACGGTATCAATTTCTGATAGCGATTTGTGAAAGTTTGATATATTATGATGTTATTTCATATTGATAACGCGAAAAACGCTATAAAATAGTGTTAATATGTCACATAATAATATTTTTAATGTGATTTGATAGCTCTTTAATAATAATAACATCCTTAAAGTTATTGGAATTTTCTTTGTTTAGCGTTGTTTTCCATAAATTTATTTTTATATAAATTAAAAATTATAATAGCACTTGAGATAACTACTAAATGTGTTAAATATGTTAATATGTTAATACGCTAAGACAAAAGTATTGTAACAATTACAAAATACAAAAAACTGTCTTATGTCGATACACTGTCTATACGACAAATTTGTTTTACATGACTTCTATCTTAAACATGGCAATGATATAAATGGCGAGAGATATATTGCTCAATATTTTAAATAAAAACTTTGCGTTATTGATTGTTTTGTAAATTTTAAAAAGAATTAAAATAAATTAAGAACGTTAAAATCAATGTTTTTACCTTCTACCTGAAAAAAATTTAGAAAGTTTTTACTTAGTAAAATCACCACGAACAATAAACTTGCCGACAAATCTATTCTCTTTTATGGATTAAGTATTCTCACGGTTGTTGATATGTCAGAATGATAGTGAAATCCAAGTTATTTAGGGCGTCCGACTTCGAAGAGAAGATAAAGTATACCCCAACCATTGAGAACAGCAGCATCCATCTCCTCTGGGCAGATCGATATTTCCTGGCAACCACCGCACCGAAAAGGGTCTCTACCCTCGATTGCTCTGTTTGTAACAATGCAAGCTACCGAATCTGAAGGAAGAATTTTCGATATATTTCGATTTATTTCTTAATCATTAACATATTATCATAAATAATTTGATTAAAAGTAACTGAAATCTTAGATATATTGAAACGTAATCTTAATGACTGTTTAT